GAGTGATCTGATGATTTAAGGTGGAGTTAGCCGCGACAGTCACACGACAGCACTGACAGTTGTTCAACCTTGATATCGATAGGCGGCCTTGATACCGTTAATTTAAATGGCCATACTGCAGGTGGCAATTTAAATGGCCAGCTGATACCGCTAGTCGCACATACGCGCGCATACATACTCGCGCGCGACGGATTTTTAAAACGCCATAACTCGACGAAAAATTGACGTAGCAACATGTGACAAAAAGAGATCTTTTTTGCTTCACGTTCCGCACACATTTATGCACAGTATACATGCTCTTCGTGACATGTATATATGTGAAAGTTGCGTATTTTATACATGAAAAATATAAAACGGCAAATTATGAAAAAAGATTATTATTATCTGGCAATGTTGCAAAATACTTATTCAATTGTAAATAACATTCTTGCGTAGTGTTAAATTATTTTATCTGTTACAAGAAATACGAAATTCAACGATTTATTGGCTGCATAGGTTTATAGCTGATACGTGAATGCAATAACGAACTTTGAAGCAACAGGGCAATTTCTTTCTTTTACTACGCACTTCTTGCGTAGCGCTTCATCCACCTCATGATTGTTCTCACATAATAATGTATATGTTTTCCGTATACTGGATATCGTAAGAATTTGTTTCTGCAAGAATGTCGTTCATTCTTTATTGCGATCGGTATTTTTACATTGTGGCATGTCGTCAGCAGTGACGTAGGACGGAAAATATCGCACCCCGCGCACGTGTAGGGTATACACACGCGTGGATAGGCATATGATCTGTTCCTTCACAAAGACTGCCGTCCATAGCGCTACTTCCTGCAAGGCTCACGTACTTTGCCGACGGCGACGGTGATGTCGAAGCGGCGAAAAGGATATCCGGCTGCCCATTCATGCCGGCGCGTATTTCGACACGTATTTCGTCCAAACGCGTTTTACCGGCCATTATGTCACGGCACGTAGGCCATACTTTAATCCCTCTCTTCGCCGCGCTCCTGTTTCTCCCCACCGGTTCTTCCCGCAAACTTGGTCTCATTAATCTAGATCGACGTAGACAGCTAAATGAAACCATCGTGGTTCCTTTGTGGGGATACCATTAAAAAGCCCATCCTCAACCCATCCCAGGGCATAGCAACGCTAATAGCAACGTTAAACCTCCACAGTGTCGAAAAGCCGCGAATGTCGTGTTCGCTCTTTTTTAACGAAATTTCTCTTTTTTTTTGCGTATTTTGACGAAATAAAAATAATCTCGCACGAGAGAGAAAAATTCCAAGAACGACGGTGTGCTCGCCGTTCTTGGAATTTTAGTTTCTCAACAGCTGTCTGTTATTGCTACATATTCGGGAGTTCATTTCTTTGCAACGACTTAAGCTGTACACTTTTAGGTACTTCCTCGAACTCGACATCTAGAATAGTACTTTTTAATAGTTAAGTCAACAATGATGACAAGAAGTCCGTGTAAAGTTGCACTTCTGTTTCCTACTTTTTCTTGTTTTTTTCTTGTTCCTTTTTCTGACATTTCATATTTGAGAAACATATCACGACAACTGCTAAGCGGTTAAAAACTTAATTGTATTTTGTGCTTCTTGCAAAATATTTCCTTTTTTCCTACATTTGTTAAATTTATTTAATCTTGGTTATTAATTAAACTTTTAGACTAAATTTTCAGATTTTAATACAGCTTAGAACAAAACCGTACATTGCGAATTTATTTGCCTACACGTGATAGAAATGTATTATTAGATGAGCTGTTTAACTAACAATTTACAAATAATTATTTCATTGTACCTAATTTTCAACTTCTCTCGTCGAAAGTGCTCGTTAAGCCACTTTGTTAATTTCAGAAATGGAACGATGGCACATCGAGATTCATTTACTCGTGGTATTCACGAAGCACATTCTCCACGCCTTTTCTCGGGTTAATGTTCATTTCTAGGCATTTATTAGCGAAATAATCCTGTTTTATAGGATTTAGACTTTTCACGCTCTGCAGTTGTTCTCATCATATGCTTGTTTCTCATCGTTAGATTCGACCGTTAGCAGTTTAATTCAAGTGATAAAACAGCTTAATGCCCACCGGAGGGGTGAGCTGCATGTGTAACGAAGCTTTATCGGGAATAATGCGAAAATACGTGGGAAAGTTGTGGAACTACCGTTCGAAACGCCAGATTTATGCTCGTTACATGCTTCCGTAAGATATACGCGGCCCGTTAAGTTATGCAAATGGTGAACGATGCAGATGTTATGCGAATGTACGCAAGGCAGGCAGAATAGTGCGGAGGAAGGATAAGAGCTTGTATAAACTTGCGGAGACAAAGTATAACACCAAGCGAAATAGCATATGTAGCATTCTACGAACAGCCGGTTTACCTACCGGTACTGATGTGGTCTCCTCTAAGCATATTATATACAAAGATTAATCGCTTCATTTGTTTCGGTTTCGTTCAGTTAAGTTAATAATTATTTTAACACACAATTTTCGGTTCAACTGAATTTTTCGCTCAAACTTTAGAGAGGCTCGTATTAAACTTTGCGTAAGGATATCGCGATCGCTTATTTTCTATTTGTTACATTAAACACGCGATGTATTAATTAGAAGGTATTCCACGGTTCTAGTTTCTTCATCCTTGGAAAACCCATTAATACAAGTTCTGGTACGCGAGAGTTGCAACGCACGTGCCCGCTTAGTTTTCCCTAAGTTCCTCTCCGGGTTTTACGCATGCCTCATTAATTACTGCCATCGTCTTCCAGCACTCGGCTAAATGGCCGTTGCGCGATTCGACGAAGTTGCTTATTGCTACACCGCTCCGCCGTCGCTCATTCAAGAAGTTCAAGACAAGTCTCGAACCGTATTACTTCCGTGCGAGGGATCGCTAAAAGGGATTCACGCTTATCTGTCCTTTGGCGACGCTATCGATTTTTTCATTTCATTAATATCCCCGAGCGCGGCGCTGCCTTTCGAAGCAAAAATTGGCCGATAACGCATTGCCGGCTATTTTTTCATATTCTACGTGACGGCGCTTCGCGATCGCGAATTTGCGCTCGTTATCGTCAGAGCGGCTAATTAAACGAGGCTTTGATTTATTTTTCCGTTCTCCTGGTGGGCGTCCGATAAATCGTTCATTGGGCTCGACCATTGGGAATGCGACGGTAAATTACTTTTTGCCGCATAATTAATTACAGTCCTAATAATTCGACCTGTTTACAGAGCGCACGTAACCAAATGTGTGGCATGCGTCCTACGTTGGGCGTTACAAAGGTGATTAATCAACGCCGCGCGATATACCCGTAGTGTATAAACTAGAAATTAACGTCGGATCGATACGTGCGTAATACATTTGACTAATCTGATTAACGATAGCATTGATTTCGTTCTTGTGATCCGGAAACACTCGCAACGCTCGCTTGAAAATCATTAGCCCGCAGATATAAGTAAATGAAAGTAATTACACGTTTAACAGACCGCAGTAGCTATTATTCCACTTAAAGTAAATGCAATTTCGAATATATAATGAAAGCACATGGAAGTGCTGAAACCAATTTCCAAATTATAATAAAATTTCATCAACATTTAGTATTTTTTTTTTACGTTTTTATTTACCTATTTTAGAAGGTAATGAGATGAATAATTTGTTTCATAAAAAATAGAGTGAAAAAATACGAAGAAAAAAATATATCGGACTTTATCGTAGCCTGTGACTCGTCGGCAACGATCTACATTTATATAAGTAAAAATATAACACATTACTTAATAAATTCAATGCAATAAACTCCAAAAAAAGACACTTGAAATATGCAGATTATAAATGCTTCTTTAATCAAGAAGGATTTATGTATACCATGAAATTTTAATTTTCTGCAAACAGAATATACTACATTAATATTATCGGATGCATAATACGCCCTTGTCAACTTGGATGACTCCGAGCTTCAGACGAACCGAGAGTTGCGCGTGATTATCGACCGACGGAATTCGTAATATGATTGATACTGTGAAACGATGAATTTTGCAAGAAAGTTCAGACCCCGTGATATCCCGGTGCTCCGCTTGAACTCGGAATATTAATATATCCGGAGAGACGACGAAGAGGATGGAGTGATCGCGAAATATTCAGATTGGATGAAAGACCGGAGTGTTTCGCGGCGCGCAGTGTATTTGTCGAAGTCTCGCGATATCTCGGTCTGTTCTCAATGGGCACACGTGTGCCGAATTCGGCCGCACGGCCGACGGCCATTATTCTCCCTGTGGACACAGTCCTGTTGCATTTCGTATTCGGCGGAATCCGCCGCACACCGTGCCGGAACCCAAACTTGGTCCAGCAGCAACACGTGCTCGAATACAATTTCGGCCCGGCTCGAGGGATGGGAATGCATTCGTGCGCGGGTTTGTCAAAGGATTAAAGTAGTTTACTCGCTGCCGTTCAGCCGTGATAGATCGGAACGGAACGCGAAGTGGACCAAGTGTAGCTACGGACAGCCCCGGAGTTCGTGCCGAACTCTGCGTCGCCGCTTATACAAGTTGCCAACTCGCCAACTTTGTAATCGTCGATGTGCATTAATTCGTCCATCCGGGTGCATTAGGATTATCGAGAGGATGATCGATTACAAGCGATTAGGGGACGTTAGTCAACATTCAAGAGGTTTAAGAAAAGATCGCAAAGTTATTTAAACGCTAAAAATATATTTCACGAAGAAGGAATGTTACGTATATTCTGAATTTTTTTATCTATAAATTCTTTGAGCAAGTTTGGTTTTAAAATTTTCTTTCTCTTTTTGTGCTTAATTATGCTTTAAGTACTTAGTATAGTAAGTCTGAAAAATTTTGTTATTTCCGAGAAAAAAATCTGTCGTCGACGTGACAGGAATTTTTCTCCTCGTATCTTTTTGTAAATACGGTCTGACAAGGGTCGCGATTATTTGCGGCTCGCACCCTCCGGTATATCGCAAGGGCCCTGACTGACATTCGATTTTTCTTGTTCTTTGTCACAGAGAGCCTTTGCGGGCGCCACGAGAAACGCTTATTGAATCACTTGCTGGCAAATTACAACACCTTGGAACGACCGGTCGCGAATGAGAGCGAACCACTGGAGGTGAAGTTTGGCATCACTCTACAGCAAATCATCGACGTGGTGAGTGATTTATTGAAACCATTCTTTTATGTCATATAATTTTATTTTAATTTCATTGTACCTCGTTGTGTTGTTGCGAAAATACATCATGGAAATACATTTCTGTTTAATGTAATAATAAATTTAGAAGAGCGATATTGTATCGGAATATAAATGCATACTACTTTCATGAAAATAGTTAAAATAAAAAATAGTAATAAATATTGTCATTTGTAACAAAATTTAAATTGAATTGAATTAATAAACATTTAAATTAAAATAATATAAATATAAATAAAATTAGAATTGTTTTACTTACATATATAAATAAATTAATATATAGATATAATATGCTTCTCAGTTTGATCATTATAAATTGGTGAATTGAGTACGCGCGTAAGAATTATACAAAACATACATTTTACTGTGAATACTTCAATACCCAACAGCTGTTAAATAGTTAAATAGCGACGTAACATATTCAAAGTTGGCGCTTGAGACATAGTTAAGATCTGCATAATCGTGGATATGTTTCAAATCTTGGGGTGAATATCCATTATGAGAAGCGGCAATTCTGCGACCCCTGCGTGAATTCTTGAGATAAGAAGTGCCAAGATTAGCCGCGCAAGTTTTTGCACGCCAAAATATCGGGTTTATCTAAATGAGAGCGCGGCTAACGGGGGGACGAATGAGGTGAGATTGCATTACGTTCTCCATCTTTCCTCCTTCTTACCACGGCTATTTACTTCCACCGGCATTATATATAGCATACCCGCTGTATACGCAGTACATAGCGCAGACATTATGCTTCTTAAGGAAGGATCTAAAAATGCGCTGGCAAAACAAAAAGAATTCGATGCGCAGCCATTAATTTTATATTCAAGGAAATTCTCCCTCCGTAAGATGTTTCGGAAAAAGCTTACTGAATTTTTCTGAGAATATTTTTGTAGAATCCTAAAAAAAGAGTGAAAAGAACAAAATTCAATTCGGCGCAAATAGAAATCATTATGCAAAGATATTTTTATTATGCAAACGGATTTGTAGACGAAAGAACGCGCATCACAATTTGATTCGAAATATTTCGATCTCAACAAACGCCGGAAAAATGCGTCGAAGTGGATGTCACTTCTTGGCAAGAGAGATAGAACAGTATTTTCCACGGCCAAGATCCTATCTCCATCACTAAATCCTATCTCTGCAATGTTCTGTCTGTAACAATCGTATGTATTAAATTTTCATCGATAGCAACATCGCGTATACCTTTCGCATCCCGGTGTTTTCTGATGCATACATATTACAGTGAGCAAGCTGGAAATTGCAGCCGCATCGAATGATCCCCGTGGACCAGTTAGAGAATAGTCGATAGTGTTCTAGTCATGAGCGTTATCGTGGTCCATAAATAAAGTTCTGATTGATCAATGTTTGATAAACGTTACGTATGGATTCATTAAAGATTTACGATGCTGGAGCTTTTTCACTCTCCGGTCGCAATTATATTATAAATCGGCCAAGATACATCGAGGTATTTGCAATCCACTCCTATTCCGTCCAGCCTAAATGAAAGTGATATATAATCGGAATTAAAGAAACTGATCGTTGTTTCCTCTGAAAATATTCTTATAGCCGATGTTAACAGCCGGGGAAATATATCCGCCGCGCCACGAGTCTCTCTCTTTATGCCACAGGCTTCTGGTACTTTACTTTTTACGCGGAACGAGAGATCGTGAGATTCTATTTCGCGTATATCTGAGATGATTCGCCCGCTGATCTTGAATAAATAAAGTTTATTCAAATATTTTTCTTGCTCCGCAGATTTTTCCGAGCTTTAATATAAATAAATATATCATCATTTAGAGGGCAAATACAGTCGGCATTTTTATTTTAACAATTCACAAAGGATATGATTATATGAATAATATGATCTTTTACTTTTTCTTAATATTTCAGTTTCACGTTATCATTATTATCTCGCGTTGTTACGGCTGTCATTATTTCACGCCATAGTTTTTCCCTTTAAGAGTACATGCAATCTGATATATTTCCAGTAAAAACAAAAGGCCGCTGTGTGCTCCGGACACTAAGAGCGCTGACGTTTCCGGGGCGGACTATCTTTTCTCTTTCTGTAGGAGCAAAACATATTCCATTACATCCCCCGCTCGCCACCTTGCATCCACGCGCGCCGTCGTTTCGCTAAGTCGCAGGAGCTGACCGGAGTTTTTGCCGTTGCCCTTTTCAAAGTGTCGTTGCCTTTAGAAACGACAGACATCTCGGCAGTTTTCTTACTCGACGTATGCTGCAGCAAGAAACTCGGCAACCTTAATGAATTAATTCATAAATCTGGTAGTACAAAAAAAATTTCAATAACTTACATTTCTTCCAATGTGAAAAAAATCTTTAATCTATTCTATGGCCAACATTATATTATATTATGTTATATATTCATTATTTGATATTTTATAATTGAAATATGCATATAGATATTATTTAAATTTTAAATAATAATTTTTAAATCGTTTAAATTATTTCTACAGTTTTCGCACAATAAAAATTGGATGTCGCTACAAAACATTATTTTATGTTGTATCCGTTATCGAAATGTAAAGTGGTTAAAGTAGATAAACCGAATGCAGGCATGTTAATGCGATAAAATTATGAAAGATAAAAAGGAGCTTTTAATGGCACCAAATCGTGGTTATGTTTTGACAACATTATTTTTCGGATTACTTCATAGTATATAATCTGGCGGTGAAGCAGATAAAACGCGCGATGAATAAACCGTACGAAAACTGTATCAATATTTCACTTTAATCGATGCACTGTAAATCAAAGCGTAGCTAAAAACAAATTTAGACAGAGTGATATAACGCATGCGGAATTTCAACTTAAAATTGGCTTCAATGTAGTTTAATTCCCTTTCAAATCCACATCGAAAACGTTCTATATGTCGATTTCCATAAATACTAGAGTATCCAAGTTTTTTGTTAATGTATTCGGCTCCAACTTTAAACTTTTATTTGATCATGGAGTCGGAATGCGAGATTTTTCGTGAAAGCGAAGTCCTTTTAATTGGTCACGTTGAAGAGATGGAAAAGTTTATAATAGCGACAGGAATTTGATTTCGATGTTGAATTAAGCGGAGAGTGCGATGGCGAAACAAGATCAACAAAACTTTCTGCAGTTGCGAAACAGTAAACTGAAACTAATCGCATTTTTAGGTAGCCAAAGAGTGTCGCGAAACAGCCATTAATATTTACGTGGTGAATAATGGACTTTCCAGATTGTCTCGTGGAACGAACTGAATCTAATATATCACATCGAAAAATGTGCATTTCCCTCATATGCAAAGTTTATACTGCTTTCTATACCGTATCGCGCGATTTTTATTATCTCTTCGGTAATAAACACCGGATACAATATCGCCAGCAACGATAACGCTTTTCTTAATTCTATTTCCAAGTTTTTAAGCGCGCTATAAAGTTTTTATGTTCCACGGTGGATCGTAAATATTTGGTCGCTTAGTTGCGGCTTTTTCTTTTACTTCTCGTGGCCGACGAAACGTCGACTTTCTCTACTGTCCGGTTCACTGCTGCTGCAATCGAACGGGACGTCCCTATATCTGTCTCATAGAAAGAACATTCTCATTGTTTTCTTGCTTACTATATCACAATACGATATATTATTTTTCCGAGAAATAACCTATATGCTTTATAAATAAGAATCATGACAAGTAGAATAAAAGCACATTTCAAACTTAATATTCTTTTTTATGATTTTTCTTTAAAATGCGACGCAGCGCGAAACAATGAGAAAAACGCGAAACAACAAAAAAAAGGCAGGCATTATGACGAATGCGGATTACTAGCGACGAGGTTCGAGGTTTTGCTCGCGCAATGCACACATACAACTTGTGCATTATGCGCCCGATACATGCGTCGTGAACTTTTTGCGTTGCGACACGTTGTACCGATTAATCATAGCGTACATTGTAGAAACTCCTGTTTCGAAACGGTCGCGCCTTTCCGCTTGACGAATGTTTATGCACTTTGTCAACGACTAATGACGTTAATTATCTTGATTAATTGTTCGCCCTTAATTAAGACTCCTCACTTCTCTCTGTATAAATTGCGCAATGATACACGGGATGTCCGCGTGACATCCGTGTATCACGAATGGAGCTTCTTTCCGACCTTTCGGACTCTCCCTTCCTCCGCTGCGAAATGAGATCCGTAGAAATTCAATCCATGATATATTTCATTCATCGCGGAACGAGGGAAGTGCAGTATTCATTGTAACCGCCATTGTCGGCCGCGAAATGAAACTCTTGCCTTTCATCGATCAGAAATCGCGCATTTTATATATCTCCGCAAAAGTCCGTCGAATAATGTCGACGTCATGGGGAATTCGTATGCCAATTTCGCGTCATTTCAGACGAGAAAGCGAGCCGTGAAATTTGCACTTTTTTTATTCATGCCGGATTTTGCTTTGAGCTGAGCTCAGCGCGGCTGATCGATTGTTATATCATACCGACAGTTTGTAGCGTAAAATATATATTACTTACATGAAGCATTCTGAATATTACACTGTCTATTACAAAACGCAAAAAAAATGTGTATATATACGAGAAAAATAATTCTGAATCTCGCTTTCCTGCTCGGAAATTAATTTCTGTCTATTTGTTATAACACCTATTCGGCATCTCGGCGGAATAAATCACAATAGCTCGGTAATATTAACGATGTTTCATATATCTCAAACGTCTCGATATAATAAAAACTAATTCGTAACATTGCTCGTAATTTTGTCCGCATTTACTCGGTTTGACACTGCGAGTGATAAACGTTGAACTATATAAGTTTTTAGTCTTTGTCGCAAGATGCAATTACGTTGCGCCAATGAGTCAGCCATGACAAAACGCGTCCGTGTTACTCATACATAAAGAGCTCCAACATAGCGGAAGCGGAAGTGCGCCGAGCAAAGGCGTGACTACGAGAGAAAGATGTGAACCGTACAACCGGTGCACATAAAAATTCTTGCCATTAAATTTTATACAAGAAAAAAAATTGAAAAAAAGTTTTTTTTTTAAATTTCGATTAATTATTTTTATAATGTGTTTTACTAAATATTCTAATTTTAAAGTGATTTTTTTTGCATATATTACACATTAATGCAAATCTCATGTGAGATAAAAGTGCCACTGCACAGGTAAACAATTAATATTTTACAAATAACAAATCATAAAAAATGATAAATTATTTATCTCAAAGTTGCTCTGCCTATTCTCCATACTTTTCTTTCCTTCCTTCTCTCAGCAGTCTATCGATGGCTGCTTCTTCACTCGTGGAAATATAATTAATTCCGATCACGCGAGCAATAATCGTCAAGATATGACAAGCACGCGGCTCTATCAGCATTATGATAAAAGAATAATTTGAAAAAGTACGAACACCCGGAGTTACGATCAACACTCGCGGAATCGGAAGTAGACAACGACGGCGGAGGAAAATCGAAAATTGCTTAGCCAACTTTGCGTGTCACCCGCCGCAGCTATTCTACATTTAAACTACTTTCATACGCTTTCTGTGTCTTTTGCACATGTAAAATAGTATATCGGGATATTTCTAACATTTAACGTGTTTAAAATAGAGGGTTACAAAATAGGATTACAAAATAGTGTAGATATATTCTGTTTCTTGCGTTTTATATTTTAGTTTTGACGTTGAGTTATTGTTGTGTGTATCTTTTATATCCTGGTTTTATAGGTTTGTTTACGTCATTTAAGATTAGTTTAAGGATTAGTTTTGTTGCATTAAAGTTTTACATTTCAAAATATTTTTTATCATTCTTATTATGAATGAATAAATATAGGAGATAAAATTAAAAATAAATATTTATAGAGTAAAATATCCGAAAATATGATTATTTTTCTACTGTTCGTACAATAAACTTTGAAAAAATAAATCTCACGAAACCATGTTCATTGCGTGAGAAAATAGCATCATGTTTTTAGATATTTTATTCCACTGATATCTATTTTTTATTTTATCTATTTATTCACTTATGTTATAAGATAAATAGTAAAATGCTTTAAACTGTGGAATTCTAGCGGATCAGAATTAATGTTTAAATTGATTAAACTATATGAACAAAGCTTTCTTGAAAATTTTAAACGCAAAACACAGAATATATATACATTATCTCGTAATATGTTTAATATTCTAAATGTACCGTGCCAAATATTTTGACTCACGGCGCGCTGTGTTGTTTTTGTTTTTTTCTGCTATTCCGTTACGGCGTATGCTCGCCGTTGCTTGCGCGTTATCACCTTGCTACCATTTACACGGGAACATTCGAGCAGACAACACGCGGAAATCGTCACGCAATCAGCTTTCAAATCGCAATAGCGATTTAAATATACAACAGAACAGCCGCGACGGGTGATGCGCAAAATTAACGCGCAATTTTCTATTTGCCTCCGTCATCGTTGTCTGCTTTTTACACCGCGAGTGTTGAACGAATCATAGCTCCGTGCGATTGTGCTTTTGTAAGTTATTCGTAATGCAAGTAGAATCGCGCAATTATTATACGATAAATTTCAATTAAATGAGGTTTAATGAGAATTAATTTCAATCGTATGTTATATAATATTTTGATTATTGCTCGCATAATTAATTGCATTTTCGCGAGTGCCACAAAGAAGCAATTTAGTACTGAGAGGAGAAGGAGACTCGGAGAGCATCGAAAATTAACAGACCAACTTTTAAGGCAATTGATTTATCGTTTAATTATTATTTGTTAATTGCAAAATATAAATTAGGTAAAAACAAAAAACTGTATTTCTATTTGAATGCATACTATTCTTGTTCCAATTTTCTTTATTACGTTCAAAATATTCGAGATGTTTGAACTCGAAGCTCATTTATTTTACTGTGAAGTATTCAAACAATTTGGACATACAAAAGAGCCAAATCTTTTGTCTGAGGCATATCTACATATATGCAGTATGACACATGATCGAACGCACTGTAACAAACTTTAATCGATTTTACAAACAATGCAAAAAACGCGTCTGCGCGTAGCCACATTCCAATTTTTATTCGACGTCGCGCTGTTGCGAGCAAATATTTTCAGGTAAAACATATTTACATCTGCTCGTTCCATCTTTTCAAAAACCATTCGCCGATTTGTTCTCGTTTTACAGTGTGGAGCAGCGCAAAATGCACTCGTCGAATAACGAATTCAATTAATACGACTGTGGGGATTTGTCTGCCGGTAACGATGCCGAAAATACATTCGTTTTATAGATCACTTTGAAGTTTTCTCGATAACACAGGACGAGAGGACGATTCTTTTCGGTTGAGTCGGTCGAAGCCACCGTTTGCAGTCGGCAATTTGCGGTTATTGGTTATCTCTTTGGTGGGAATTCTTACGATTGAACTACCCGTATTTTCCTGCCTCTCTCTTTGTCACGATCTTTCAGATTTCCTTAATACTGCGATTGCAAATTTTACATACATGCACAACGGGTAAAACAGATGCTCGGTTTTTTTTTTAATAAAGAAATTTCAGCATGTACACGATAAACGAAATGTATCACAATTCCGATTTTAATTTTAATTCCTCGTCTGTTTAATAATTTTCGATACTCGATTGTATCATTTTTTATTTTATTACACATCCAAATTAAAATTACAATAATTGTTAATTGTATTATTATTCTAACATTGTATATTAAATACTCAGCTGCTGATCGAACTTTTTTAATGTTTTTGAAGTAGATATAATACTCGGTATCGAACGTGTATAGGTAAAGTTAAATCGCACATCCAACTCATTTTGTGAATAAATATTTGCCGCATGCGTGTCGGCACTGTTTGTTCGCATGGAGCGGAACGACTGATTGTGAGTTTGCGCGTCAATAGTGAATGAGATACGTGAAGATATGAGTTATGCTCAAAGATATATATCGACAACGTTAATAGCATTATCTTTAAACAAATCTACGTTTATATACTAGAATTCTATCAATAAATAAATATATAAAGGAGTGTAAATACAATTATTAATGAATATTTATCTTGAATGAAGTAATAAATGCAGGGTATAAATGGGTTTTTATTCTGTAATCAAAATTAATAAATAAATCTTAGAAATGAGTTTTATGTCAAGTAAAAACAAGGCAATTATCGCAATTACGATGCATTATTCTTATATCGTCATTGAAATAAAAATAAATAAAAATGGCAAAGTTTAGTATGGCGGAACAATGTGGAATTGTAATAGTCTTGCTATTATGTATATTACACATATATATCACAATATATTTTTTATTTATACTAATATTGTTTTGTTTGTTTTTCAGGATGAGAAAAACCAGATACTTACGACAAACGCGTGGTTAAAACTGGTGAGTAAAATAAAATCTCTTTATTTTCTTCTTTGCAATTGATTGAAATTCTCTCTTTGCTATTGATTGATTCTCAATAAAAAGTATTTTTAAAACAGTTTATTTTAATGTCAATGATTTAAAAGACTTAAAAATTTACGAAACAGAAAATTATTGCAATTTGTATGTATAAATATTTGAAGTTCTGTTTCTTAAAATCCTAATAAAGAATTGAACAGAGCAAAGATAAAACGTTAAGAAATTTAATCATTTGCATATACGCGAATTTTTATAGTTTTAAATTCGTAATGAGTATTTTTTGACGAAACTTAATGCACACAACAAAGAGAAAACATACGATAACGGATGGGACAATTCAACATCTAATCTGTATGTTTTCATCCCTTAATCGTATTGAATAAAACAAATACAAGAATTAAACTTAGTTTACGAAACAAGTTCTAAGCTTTCAGTAAATATATACGTGTTCTCCGTATGAAATAGACACGAACGTACATAATTACGTAAATGTGCAATTACATGCATAAGTTCTTATATACACCTTCATAACCATACCGTACTGAAGCAAACGACACGTTGAAAATGTGTTCGCAGTAATTCTCTCGACGAAATAGTCAGTTAACAGAAAATCAATAACTGTACCGGTTACTTTTCCATCGCCTGCGGTCTTCCCATTTACGGGGATGCGTTGTAATATCGCTGATAAAAAATACATCTGCCGTCGCGACGAATACCGCGAATGCAAAAGCAGCGTGAGAGAAAAAAAATGCAACGAGAATTCGAGCGGATATATCTGGTTATGTTCAATAATAACGTTTCAAATGCAATTTGCATAGGAACGCGAGAAATTAGGAGATTGTTTTGTTTTTCCAACAAAATTTTCGAGAGAGATCCCGCGGATTTAATTGAGCAATTCTGTTGCGTATTTATGCTGAAATGTTTTATTTCACGCCGTTTATATTAATCACGATGTAAGCCAAATTTTTGAGAAATCTTGTTAAGAGTCTAGCATCAACTCGCAGTCGTATTTTTTATTTAATTCTGAAATAATAATATTAAATCACTTTTAATTAGCGTTAACATGGTTTTATTTGTAGCATAAAACGCAAAAAAACATAATTAATATTAATACTTGTGTTTTTTATACTTACAAGCATTATATGCAAGCGGACAAATTTTTATTAATATTTTAGAATTAAATTTATGATAATTACAAATTTGTATGGTATATACGTCACTTTTACGCACAAACAGCTCGGATATAGCACGACACACACATACACACAGACCCATTTACGGATTTTCTCGCTATATTACCGGTCGGATCGCGTGGGCGAGCAATCAGTAGATCAGAAATGCGAGAGTGCGGCGGTTGCTATTGTCGTTTCGTCTCGCTATGCATCGACTGCATCGTGGGCGAGCATCCACGCCAGACAACCACTTCTTCTCTCTAAGAAGCTGCTCCGTGTTTCCCTCGGGGGCAAAAAAAACCGGTGAAGACGCGGCACGGGAGTAAGAACGTGAGAATAGACGGGTAAAAGGAAGAGACTGTAGATACGATAGGGATGAGTTCGAGAAAATCGAGAAAGCAGTACGATGCACTCGGAGACCGCGATCTCCTTGTCAGGATTCTCCCCTCTTTTCACCTTTCCCTTTCTCTTGGTTTCTCTTTTTTCATCCTCGTTTTTCTTCAAAGCCAAATGAAAAGAATGTCGAATGCTGCTCTTTGTCTTAACATCATCGATCGGTGTAAGAGAATAAAGCCGCGAATACGGATAGTTTACTGGTGCGCCGTTCGGAGTCTTCGAAAAACCAACGTTTGACGGATTCATCGCAAACGCGTAAAAGACATCTATGCGAATGCCTTTTTTTGTATGCCTGTCATCTCTTTTTCCGTCGCAATGTTTGTTCGAGCTGATACATCAAAGTCCGCCTGCGAGTAAATTATCTTTTATACAGTTAGCGCGGACGGTGATTAATTATTTACTCTGTTTACGTTTAGCGCTTGCGCGGACGCGAGATAATCTAGCCGGTCTTTTTCATCATGAGTTTTTCAGAGTTCCGTTCGTAGCTTCTGAAAAAAAACTACACATCCCGGTTGTAATTAATTTAGGATTTTGTAGCACCATCAAGAAAGCTCAATATCTTTCTGCCGCTATAATTCTCATCTCTTTCTCATCTGTATCATATAGTGTCGATATCTTCTGTCTGCGTTTATAGCCACTTTATTGTCTTCAAGGAATTGATTTCTGATTGCTGAAGAGCAACGTTTTTCTTTTGTTTCATCCTTTTTGACGAGTCTTCTTTTCGTTCATCGTTCTTTTTTTCATCTCGTTGTCAAGCTCATCCCTCTTTCATTTGTAGACCCCAACTGTATTTTTTGTTTTTTTTTCACGTTACCCTTTTACTCGAATCGTTCTGTCAGTGGCAGTAAAAAGCCACAGACAGCTGTGAAATCCTTCCCAGTAATATCGAAAACCGAACCAAAGGAGAGCAAGCGCCTGTAAAGGACTCTGGTCGTCAATTCATTAGCACGAAGCTCTCACGTTAAATTCTGGCTTTCCTAATTTAAACTATCTGTAGCTTAAATTTTATAATATATATTTAATGTATATAATTAATACAATTTATGATATTTTACCTTTAATAATTTTGATTTTATCAGTTTTTAAAGAACATTAATTTTATTATTATTATTATTATTTTATAAATTATATCTTTATAATTTTAATACTTTTAGAAATAATAACGTTAACATTTTTTTTATCTACACTTTTAATTTTTAGAATAATTATTAAAATAAAATTTTTTATAATTTTTTGGGAGCTTTAAAATTGGCTTCGTTAGTTTTAATTGCACGTTTTTATGGAAATTAATTATATTATTCTTTTCATATTAATAAGTTTAAAGATAAGTTAATCTAAGGAACGAAAAAGTTGTTTAATTATCTGTATCTCTATGTCTAAAGCACACATATTATATTTTAATTACATATTTCAATCTCAATTATCTTTAAATGCAAGCACGTAAGATGTTTGACAAAAAATAGAGCAGATTTTAAATTGGCATCCTTATTTAATTAGTTAAGATAAAGCCTCACTGCATTAACTACCTTTAAGAGAGTCAATCAAAACTTTCAAGTTTGCTAAGCTAAATGGAATTTTAGAGTAGTACTTGGCAATGGCCTTACATGCATCACGTTGGCATGTTTAACGTATTCGACAGTTATAACAGGTGCTACTTCGTTATTACACGCTGATGAGGATGGTTATAAAGGCAGTATCTCTTATATTCCGTAAAATAACTGACTATACATAACTTTGAATTGTGCAATCGTTTGTTTTATTAATTGCAAGCAGTATCTCAACTAACGGCAGTGTATTCACATATCCACGTGCGAGAAAACATGATGTTGCTGTAACTTTAGAACTCTTATGAAATTTGTTATTTATCAAGCTGACTCTTTCAGTTCGTTAAATAATTCATTGACAGGTAGCCGATGCGCAGCTGCGGTTTTCAAGCTAGGTTAATAATATAATGCACTTTACTCGTGCGAATTCATATCGGAATAGCGTGCGGATCGAGGTAATATTAATCGGCGCTCTAAATCCATGACAAGCGAATACGTCGGTCGTAATAGAGTAGATGTGTCTTAAAATATCGCTCGTTTAATAAGACGCTATATCACTTTATTACGCTAGTCATTTTATTAGTTAAATTTAATTTTAGAAGAGGAACAGAGATCGAGATTCTTAATTTAATAAATCATTTAATATTCGCATCTTAAGAGTTATAAACGTTTAAGTCAATTTTTTTTATCGAGACAGAATCAATATCAACCATTTTTAAAAATATTATTCTATTCTAATACCTTTTCAGAAATACATTGTTATTTTTTATCTGCCAAGTTAAATCCACGTTATTTCACTTGGCAATCTATTATTTTATAATTTGACAAATCTTTATTACTAAATGTCTTTTTAATCAAATTTCTTTAAAAATAACTAGAGATTTAAGTCAATTTATTGTACAAAATTTATCTAAAGATTTTCATCAGTTTCTACAAGATTAAAAGATGTTTCGACAACAGATTCAACCTTTTTTCTAATATATCTTCTAGTATGCAGTTGAGAGAGAAGTGGCCATAATTCTGTGACACAATATCCGCGTGCGCGTATCCATCGTTGCGGGCAAATAACTACGCGAGAGGCACGAGAGAGCACTTTTCGTTCTCTTAACAAAAAGCAAGAGCGAGATATTACAGGTCGAGAATCCGCGCGGTCCTCTCGGTTGCGCCGGAAATAACACAGTTGCGACGTAGCGACAAAGTGTCCAAATAATTGCACGTGTGTATCCTCCACTCGACGTGAAACGAGATCAGCGACGATATCAGTTCCTTTTGCGTGCGTGCACAAAGGGCCGGGACGAGGAACCGACGAGGGGAGAGAGCGCGAGAGGAATGGAGGAGGCAGCCACGTAACATCATCGTGTACGAACATGTCGCTTGCGTGTTGGCACGATGTAGCGGCGCTAAAATGTACGGAACCGAGAAACGCTGTCACGACACTCACGTTTCCGTGCGAGAAATGTCGCCGCTACATCGTGCCTGTCGTTGCGCCAGCATTTTAGATTAACCGCTTCGTTACAAGAAACCAAGTAGAAACAGCGCGAGTAGAAGCAGCCAATTATGTCTTTTCGTGAGGAAACTAATGAGGAAAAGCAGATCGGGATTGATTTGCGTTGAGTGCTTTATATTAATAGGATCTATTATATACTTTTTATACATTAATTGATAATAATTCTTGCGCTTCGATAACCGCATCACTATTTTTCATTGTCTTCTCAATTATATATATTGCTTGCGTTTGAAGAACTACATTTTACAGTATATATATTTCTGCAGAATTGTTTTTATTACGTACGATAAATAACTGCGCGTTATTTCAATCCACTTTTCTTCATTGCAACTTTTAATCTTTTTAATATGTGTGTTGAATTAA